GCAATGGCCTCCAACCTAATAGCGACGGCCTCCAACCTAATAGCGATAGCCTCTCGCTGATTGACCATCGGATCTTCAAGGCTCAGCGGCTTCGCTTCAGTGGCGGCTTGCTCCGGGCAAGTTCTCGCAGGAAGCAGGTCAACAACGCCACATGGCCTTGCGAAGATAGACAATGAAACTAAATGAGGAGCGGACAACATTAAGTGCTTACACTATTGTCTTGGGCGAAGATGTTTTGCCCCACTTCCGCCACATGCCAAAGAACCTTCATGAGTGCCGCATCTTAATATTTATTGCCCTTGTAATTCGTGGCTGTCTCCAGGCGACAAAGATTCGCGACCCTGCCCTACACTACACGATTGAAAGTCAGAGCTTACCGCCAACATCAACATGACGTGGGCCATTGCCTTCATGGGCTATGCGCGTTGAAATTTGGCTGTCATTTTGTTGTAGTTTTGGTTATCCTCGCGGGACCAACCAATATATTTTTCAATATGTTCAGCTCAAAACTTGGGCCATGAGGAGCATTCCACAAAAGACTCACTCCTATACTCCTTTATGCAGTGTTTGATAAAGCTAATAACATCCCAACAGTTTCATCTAGCGACTCGTGCGCGTCATCACCCGCTTCAAGGGCTTCTAGAGTTCTTTTGTGTCACGCATCAGGCGCACCAACTGCACCAGCAACACCTGACACCACCTGTTCAGATTGCAACTGTGCACCTTGAACAAGCGCTATGCCAGAGACAAATGTAAACGGTCGTGGGCCGACTTCACTGTTACTTTTGATGACATTCTGACATGTGTGTCCGAAATTCCTTTTTGTTTGGCCTGCAAAATGCAACACTAGAAATGCTGGGAAAACATTGATCAGTGAAGTGCCTGTTATGGCTGCTTTAATGAGCCAAGTCATAGTGCCACAGAAGATTTTGACGCACATACAAATCATGCAACCACCTATCCACAAAAAGCTTACTTGAAAAAACAGCAAATAGCACAGCCCTGCCCCACCACACCAAAGGCCTAGGCAATCAGTGGTCCCTCGTCCGTAGAGGTTGTCTCCCTCCACTGTGAGGTGGAAAGGGTCCTAAGAGAAGTGGAACCGCTTCTGGAACTATCTGAAACCGAAGGTCCAAGGCGAGTTAAGTTTACCCCCAAATCTAGGAATCAAATGAATAGCCTGAGTTTTTGCTGCGTCTCAGACTAGTAGCTTCCTAGGACCTTACCGAAGAAGGCTCTCCCGTCCTTGGACCACTGCTCCGGATCTGCAGGTACCACATCGAAGTGGCTGCCAACCTCAGTCGTTCTCATCTCTACCATCTCTACCCGCTCTCTAACCATTGTAACCTCATCTTCTCACTCACCGACCATCTCCGACTTACACGACCTAGTAGGTTGGAGGCCATCGCTACTAGTACCTATCATCCTGGACCATCGCCATCTCCCCGGACGCATCTCTAGGACCCCAAACAAAGGCAACGGTTTGAGTCCCGGAGCCTGGGTAGGTGACCTTGGCACAAAGAGTTCGGTTTGCCTCGAAGAAAGGAAAAAAACACAGAACCAAAAAAAAACAAAAAATACATAAAAACAGAACATTTAAAAAATATATATAAAACAAAAGAAAAACAAAAACAACAAACACATAAAATAAAAAAAACAACAGAACAATTAAAGAAAAACTGAAAAAAAAAACAATTCAATACACCTCCAGTGGAACACGTTGAGGCGATTGTTTTTGAGATCCCAATCATGTTCTTTCGATGTGACCTGCAAATTGCTATGGCTGGTGGCGAATGGAAGGAAACGTAAACAGTTTTTTGTTGGCTGCAGTTGAACTGCTGAGTCATGACGGCATGTTGTATACGTAAATAAAGCAGGCAAACCCCTTGTATTCAAGGAATCATATCGCATGTGGGAGCTGGTGCCACGCCAAATCTGAAGATTCTTGGTTGTGACCCAACCTGAAATTGGATGATCTACAGGAACAAACACGAGGTAGTATGATTGTGATTTGTGCGATTGCCATTGCTTCTGCTCCAAGTTGATCAAACCTGACGTGGGTTCAACCATTGAGACTAATAAAAAGATTATTCCGGTGACCACACTGCTTGGGGAACTTTAAGGAACCTAATAGCGATGGCCTCCAACCTACTAGCGATGGCCTCCAAACTACTAGCGATGGCTTCCACCCTACTAGCGATGGCCTCCAAACTACTAGCGATGGCCTCCATCCTGCTAGCGATGGCCCCAAGATACTAGCGACGGCCTCCTTCTTAGGCCCTTCTGAACTTCTTGATAAAGTTTGTCTTGAATTTGTCAAGCGCTTACCGGCTAAAGCAAGAGCCTTCTTTGTTCAAGAGCACGAGCACGTTTGTTGAACATCATCAAGAATTTTTTGCAAGCACTGGATGACCTAGAGATTTGCACAGCCCTTCGCCCAAATCTAGAAATGCGTTGTGTTTTTTGTGGTGTGGGGCTTATACACTGGGTCTGTACCTACGCCTGGGCTCCCCTCTCAAGCAAATGCCTACGCGAGAGGTTCTCTTTGTTAGGTGCCTCCACGGGGTGCCTACGCAGGGTACTGTCACCAACTTATAGTCACATCAGGTGACCCGAAAAGAGATGAAAAGAGCTATATAATCCCCAAGTAGTGGCCCGATGCGACCGGGTCACATCAGGTTCCTGTTTACAAGGCGTTTGCAGCTTTTCTACCGATTGCCGGATAGATTTTGTACCAATCCAATTACAGTGTGGAAGCAGCAGCACACACAAACAGCACACAACAAGCAGCAAACAAGCAGCAGAAAACAAGAGGCAGCAGCAGCAGCAGCCAAGCAGCAGCAGAAGCAGCAGCCAAGCAGTAGCAGCAGCCAATAGCTTCTTGCCTATGCACTGCTTCCGCGAGCGCTTACGCGGGGCCTACGCGAAAATAGGTCTGTTGTTGGGACCCCAAAGAGTTTAGCCGGCTGCTCACATGGTGTAAGCTGTCGGGCAGTGCAGTTCAGTTTTTGCTCCATCGATAATGGTACCAACAGGGTATGCACACTTGTGGCTCAAGAGCCGGTGTGCGAGACCAAGCACGATCAAGCTTTTGACCTCAAAAACCAATGTGCCCCCATAGCTTCGACAAACAAACTTCAGACATCCACTGTAGCCGCGTCATGCCATCATGCCATTACAGTTCATTTTCCTTGTGTTCCCCGCTTGAATTTGCAAGCAAGTGTCAAGTTAAACAACTACAAACCAACATTATCTTTCCACAAGACCCTTGAACAACTTTTAGAGAAGTCTGAACAATAAAACTCATGCTTTCATTAAACATGTGCCTCCGCAAGACTGCCTACGCAAGTCTTTCAACACCCACCTACGCAAAATGCTTACATGACGCCTACGCCCCAAGCAGAACAGCCTCCGCAACTTCTCAACAGTTCCCTTTTTGCATAAACCTAATCATTTGCAAAAAACACGTGGCTCAATTGAGTTGCTTTAGTGTACTGCTTGCTCAAAACAAAACTGGACGCCCACACAAAATCGTCAACTCCCAACCTGCTGAGTTCTTGTTCCAGAGCTGCTCTTGTGGGACAAAAACTCATCTTGAGAGACCTGGTGTTTGAAACGTCCCAAATCGAGCCTTGAGATTGCTGCGGTTTTGCACGTACTCGAGCTCCTAACATCATTCTGAGCCCGTCAAGGTTGAGTATTTCAAACCTCGAAACAAACCACAGCATACTTGCAGCACTCACTTGGTAGAGGAAGTCCCGGACATCCCACCAGCACAGAGACTAAGTTGCAATTGAATCACAGCCACCCAGCACAATCTTCCAAACACAAGAACTAAATCGAACAACAAATCAAAGTCACAATGTTCCGGAGGTTGATTAAAGCTTAGATCTTAGATCCACTTATTTTTTCAGGTTTTTGAAACTGCTATCCTCCACGATGAGCGGGCCACCCTTCGCGGTGGAGTAGGCCTACAAGCACACATGAGACTGAAAGTTGTCAGAATCTTCAGCTCCTAGTAGCGTCCTTGCTCCTAGTAGCGATGCCAGGAGCCCCTAGTAGCGTCCTTCCTCCTAGTAGCGATGCCAGGAGCCTGTGTTATTTGGGATTCCAAGCTTACCCCTCTCGACAAATGAACCACGAACGCAAGAAGCAGAATTCTGCAGGTCTTATCACTTTCAGTCACAACTTCATTTTAGTGCTCAGTGTCCGCATCATTTGGCTTCACTTTGTGCATTGTCTTATCACTTTGAGTCTCATTCTCTGCCTCAAGTTCCTTGATGACGACCTGTGCGGCCCTCTTCTCCTCGAATGCTCTTTCTTTTCACGAGATCCAAGCACTTCACTCTTTGGAAGGCAAGAACAGGATAACTACCCCATAACGTCTTGACGTCTTTGTGTCTTTTTTTTGCGACAAGAAAGAACTAGTCTGAAGTCTAAAGGTCCAAATGAAGCAAAAAGGGAGGAGAAAAAGTGGAATGCCTAGTAACAAGAAGCTACTAGGAACAAGTGCATCGCTTCTAGTAACAAGTGCCTTACTACTAGTAACAAAGACGCTACTAGGAACAAGAAGCTACTAGCTTCCTTTAGACCTTCAGACTCTGGGGGCCTTTCCTTAATTATAACCGACCATTCTCATGTCCTGGGGCTTTATGTTCATCGGCGGATTGTTCTGGAGAAACTTGCTCTCGTCCAGCAATCTGGCGACCGGCAAAGAGCTTTTTGAGAAACTTGCTCACAGAGAGTTCCGCACAAAGAAACGGACTAAAAGCTACTAATTTCTCTCGGTCCATAGTTTCTTCACAAAAATCGCTTGAGTGCATGAGTTGAGTCGACAGAGTTCTGAATGCGTGGTGGTTCTACAGGGCAACAATTTCTTCCTTACTCAGGAGTCGTCGTATGGATGTTGGGGAAGGTTTCCTTTTTAGGACGGTTGGCCCGGCCGAGCTGCTGCACATAAACCTATCATGGCATTCCAAATGAAGTCAAGTCCACACATAGTACTGTAGAAGAGAGGGACTACTAAATTGAACAAACTGGGCTGGTTTCAGCTACAATTCATGACGACCAATAGCCATGTCAGAAATATCAGAAATAACACTGTAGCACAAAATCGCTCTGCCATGGCACCGCATCTCCTCAAAAGCTCTCAATAACGACATTGCAACACATCAAACATCACCATCTCCCCTGCAACAAGAAACGGGCATCGGCAATAATACACAAGACAGGCATTTCTGGAACAATTGCTCAAACACCAAATGTTATTCTTAGCCACACTGATTAAACTTTGGCATGAGACCGGGCTGTGGCTTTGGGATTCTTCTCGCGTCCAGCTGGCAGCTCTAGCGCTGGAATCTACAGGGCTGCTCCTTTCTGGCCATATCGTCAGCATGCTCTTTCCGGATTGTGGGGGTATTGCAGGGTCCTCCATTGTTAAGTTTCCCTACAAATCAAGGAACAAGAGCTACTAGGGGCTCCTGGCATCGCTACTAGGAGCAAGGACGCTACTAGGGGCTCTTGGCATCGCTGCTAGGAGCAAGGACGCTACTAGGGGCTCCTGGCATCGCTACCAGGAGCAAGGACGCTACTAGGAGCAAAAAGCTACTAGGGGCTCTTCTTCAGTGCTCACGCTTCTTCAAAGAAGCTTCCCCCAGGCGGCGGGGGGAGCTTCCTTGAAGAAGCGTGAGCTATCCTGCGTCCATACTAGTAGCTTAAGTAAGGTACTAGCTACCTCTCCCTTACTTAACTTGAGAGAGGAGGGGGTGAACGAAAGGTAGCAGGCAATCACAAGTAACCCTGGTAGAAGTCCACGACGGCGTGAACCGGCGCAGGGGGGATTTGATCCAGGGCCCCCCCCCCCGACGAACAGAATCAACTCTTACAGGACCAAATTCAATGCACAATCCCAACCCCTGATTGTAATACATTTTTGCTAAAGCAAGGAGAACTCAGGTAGCTCAAGCTACCTTTCGTGATTAAGTAGGCGCCTACTTAATGAAGTAGAAAGGGGGGAGAGCGAGCGGCCTAAAATAACGAACAAAAGCACACAAGGAACTATGTAGTTACTTCGTTTGTACCTGGAAGTGCTGCACAAATCGCCGGAAAGACTTTCTCAGGACATCGACGTAATGGGCCTTATCCAAGTCCTGTCGCAAATCTGAGATTCGATACAACCAGTAACAAGGTGCATCGCTACTAGTAGCTATTACTAGTACAACAATCCGTAGTTTTGGTATTCTGGAGGATGCTCTGGGAGCTTCCTTTTCATCTGATTGGTATCTCGGTCAGTTTTGGCCACTTGACGATAA